ACCTATTCGAATGAACTCTGTTTTCAGATTATTCAAGTTTGTTGCTGTACCAACTGCTGTGTATCAAGCTCACTTCGTCTGCGTTTTTTCCGCAAAATTCGGCAATACATCTTTTTTGCAACCATGATGACCTTTGAACTGTATAAGATTCGCATTCCTCCAACTGCTTGCGACAGTAAAAAATTATATGTGGGTTTGATTTATGCTTTCTTGATCAATGAGATTGTTCGCACTGCTATTGGCACAAAATCAGCAAAAAAGCTATCAAATTCAAGCTCATGTTCCGAGTTCATATACTAGAAGTGTGTTGACATGCCTGTTTCTCTTCCTTTGCATTGCTCATGCTTTTGGTACGCAAAGGTCCACAATGGTGAGCACTCTTGCTTGCAAGACTCATATTGCACAACTGCCTCTATTCTTTACCTTAGAGATTTTTTGCGAATTGATTTACTTTTTGATTTACTTTGTCGATTTTATCGAGTTTTGGAGCTTTGAGCTACGAGGTTGGGAGTTGGTACAGGGAGGTAAATGAGGGTGCTGATCAAAACTGAAACTATTTTATCGATTTCAGCGATTTTTGGAAAATCTTGAGTTAGGAGTTGGTATAAGGGATATGAGGATGCTGATTATGAACGGATCGGCTTTAGCTGGATATGTCAGCAAGTTTGAGATATGATTGTTCTAGTCATTCGATAAATCATTCGAATATTCATTCGAAATTCGACTTCCAGTTTTCGAATATATTCGATATTCATTCTTTCGAAATTTTTAATCTTCCGATTTTATTTGGAAATCATTCATTCGAGAATTTTTGGATTTCGAATTTATCCGATAACCTTTTATTCAAGATATTATTTTCGAAATTCGATATTCGTCTGTTCGAAATTTTTCATTTTCGAATTTCGATATTCATTTATTCAATGAAGAATTTTGAATTTACCGAAGTGTAGTGGAGTGGCCCAGAATGTGGTGGAACCTGAAATGCCCAGCTCGTATGCAGTAAGATAGGTATGCGAATGAGAATAAGTGTACATGCTATATGCACCGGTAGACTTCAAATCAAGAGAAGGTATTAATACAGTGATTACGCGAGATAGATGAGCACCAGCAAGGTTGGAATTCTTGCCTTTCGCAGCGGCATTTTTTCCTTGATTCGTTGCCTTAGGAGTCGTATGAGTGTCTCTCTGCGTCGATATTCTCAAATCTGTCCAATTTCACTCGAAGAAGATTGGGGAAGGTGCGCACTCGGAGAGGATTGAGATGTAAGCGCGCCTACCTCTGCAATATAAGAAACTGTGCTATAACTATGTAGAGTAGTCCTCATATTCCTCAGGCAAGTCATTGGTTAATAAGAAGGCTACCCAAAAAAGCACTGATTCAACACTGTGATCCAGATGTCCAACATAAGACTGGCACTGTGCACTGACGCGCCGCATGGCGAGGTGACTAGAAATGAAATGACGTCTACTATATAAGGAATAGCAAATGAGATTACAGAAAAGTACTGTATGCACTTAGATGAAAATATACCGGGAATCAGACCAATCATGAGAAGTAGAGTGAGATAGATGTCGTAGAATCAAGAAATTGTAAAACCACTCAAATGTACAACTTTAGAAAGAAAAGTTTCAGTAATTTCACCAAAAACGCTCTTCAAACTGACTTCAAAGATTTGAAGTGAAAACAATGATCAAGCACGATGACTATACATTTTACTAGCATGCAAAAGCTATCCATTAAGCGTTGACTGGAAAAGACCAAGAGCTCATTTTATCAGTAGAATAAGTGATGTAATAATTGCGTATGCATGTAAATTGCATTAGATTACATAAAAAATTGCTTTAAGCTGGAGGCTGAGCGAATTGATTGCGATTGAAAATTGTCATGATAAACGTTTGATGATTAATAGATTAGTCTATTATTTTAGTTCGATATCCTTTATCATGCATGACATGCAAACGAGCCACCAGAGCTCTCCAAAATTTTGCGCCTGTATTGAGCAATTGAGCGTTTCGCCACCTTTGCTGACCACAAAATCTCGTTCCCCTGTCGCGTAGATTATTATGACTTTCATCCAGATGTGCACGAAACACTTTTATGACTATTACAATAACATCTAGAACGTCCGCGTACAAACTTACTTCTAGCCTTCTTTACACCTGTGTCTTCGTATTATATTTTCTCTTAGGCACACTAAACTCAGGCAATCGCCGGGGGGCAGGCGGGCGCCGGAAAATAGGCGTTGCTAACATTTCGCACTCCGCTCGCAAATTCCAGGAAAATGTTCAGCGAGTTTTTGAGAGACCACCTCAACCTTATTTCGCTCTTATTTTTTGCAGATATATTGCTGAATCTCTGAGGAATCGAGAACTCAACAAGCGGCGTCCCAAAAAGTCCTGATGGCTTTCCAAAAAATCCGCGAGCAGAGTGCGAGAAATCAGCCGGTATTTCCGGTGCCCGCCTGCCGCCGGCGACTGTCTAAGAAATGTCCCATCCATCTAAAAAAACCGTTTCACAAATCGCAAACGTCAAAAAATTGCAAACGCATACATGCGAACACACGAAAAAGATCTTTCGCCAAAAGTACATTTAGCCCGAAACCCTGTGATTACAGATTTGGTTTCAAATAGCCAGTAAGGAAAGTTATTGCAAACTAAAAGTACATACTATACTTTCAGTTTTAGTTTTGCTTTTCATACTTTTAGTACTAAAAGTACTAAAATTACAGGGCTGTTCAACTTTATATCTTGACATAGTTCCAAAACAAGAATTTCGGAGGTTAAATCCCGCGAAAATGCAATAACTAATCGCAATTTCGCGGAAGATTCAATCTACTTTCTACCAAAAGCCGTCAAACTTAACAAGTGGTAACTTCTGAATAGTAAGATAGAGCATTTTGTCTGCTATTTTTGAAAATTCGCATGGCTCTCATTGGGCTGTTGTATTAGTGATCTTTGGAAAAATTGCTCCTTTTGGAAATCTCCCTCATCTCTGTGCTGTTTGGTTATATTCCGTATTAAAAACTCCAGTTATGGCATGAGTGTGTTTCCGAAATTAAATGTAAGAGTATCGGAAATTGATGTCGCAAAAAACAGCATATTGACCATACAATCGAGTAGGTTTCTTCGCTGAACTATGCAGCTGCGTACTTTTCAGGATGAGGTCGGCCATATCCAGACACAATTGCATTTTTTCTCACTTTTCTTAGTTTTTGTTACCTAATGACGCTTGAATTAGCGAAAATGATCACGAGTGAAATATAGGCTGTATCACCAGTATCCGTCCCGCGCCATATGCCTTGCGACGGCGCATCGTCGCATGCGGCGTGCCTTAACGCGTTGCAGAGTTCGCACGCGTCACACCGCACCGTCGCTGCCGCAGCCGCGACGTCGCATGACCGATGCTAATTGGTATACCTATATCTGCCTGCAGGCCGTTTTTCGTCATTAGCATTTGGAGATTGTGAAGCTGCACACGTCAGCAAAGAAACCTACTTGACTGCAACTGATAGAGCATATTCGACTTCTGTGCAGCTGACATTTTATTGTAACTCGAATCCTCTGACTGCAAGGTACCCACCTGCATGTTTCATTGCCTTTTTGTCTCAAGTACTTCTAAATCAGGGCCCGGCACGAGGTTGTCAAATGACAAGCTGGAAATCGTTTTCGGCAAGAAAAGCAAAGGGGAAATCGTTTTTGCGGGGTCCGGGGAGGAGCCCCGGAAAAAAATTGGTAGTGCACGTTTTCTGCTTATCTTAACATGTTATGTGCTTCGACGGGCGAACACTGGAGTTCGCGCGCGTCAAACCGCGCGGTCGCTAATTGCCGCACGCGCGACGTCGCTTCAACCGCTGCGTTTTGTAACAGCATAAGTGACTAGTTCTCAACGTATGCGTAACGATATGGCACCAAATTTTGTAAGCAAACGGAGAGAGGCTAGTGGAAACAAAGTGTGAAAATTTATGAAAAACTTATGTGAACGGAACGAGTAATAAGCATTGTTTCCGAAAATTTTGCAAAATTGGTAAATGAAGATGTGAATTCAAATGGCTTGTTTGCAACGCGCAGATGACAGTATGGTATGAAACTTGGTAGGTACTTGGACCCAAGCCTGTAGGAGTTAACATAGGAGTTTCATTGAAAAATTATGTGACTGAAGGTTGTGGCAAACTTTTCCCTGAAAATTTCCCGCTACCAAAAAAATGGAAAAATGGCTCGTTTGCAACGCAGAGGCGACGAAATCGCTCGGGATTCGGTGTGTATATGCGCAGTAGGACTAAGTTTTTACTAAGAGTTTCCTTAACTTATTTCCAAATTAGCTTGTCATTTGACAAGCTAATGACAAGCTGAGCTTGTCAAAACTCTCAGTTCACATAATTTTTTCAAAATTTTTACATAAATCTACTCTACACCTAAAGATTAGTATATATTGAAATTTTGGTTCCAAACCTCCTCCGCTCCTCATTGCTAGAGCCAAGAATAGCCTCAGCAGCCCCGTTTCTCAAGGAGGAAAGCGCGCTCCAATCGATAACCGCGTAGCGCTGATTCCTTTAATCGGCGTTCGGTGTGTCGCCCACTTTTCTGGGTTTTCGTTGGTCTTTGTGCTTTAAAAATCAATTGTTTCCTTGTCATTGTTATTATTATTTGGCTTCCGCTCTTTTAGTATGTTATTTGATGCGTTCTTTTCACTCTAAACTTCTTTGATAGAAAAGTCTAGTGGAGTCGGTAGGATTCATCAAGATTTTTATTTGTTAGTCACTATATTGCTAACCATCATCAAATTTATTTGATTTTTGTATAGAAAACCATGTTATGTGATTGAGGCTTGGCAAGAGGAATTTGTGGTTTAGGTTGGGCGGCGTCTAATCATTTCGCCATCTGCATTGTTCTTACTATCGCGTTATTTTTTTGCTTTCGTGATTGGTAATCGCGCATAACCTGTTCGTAAACTTTTGTTTCAAACCGTTTTTCGTTTTCCCCATATTGATCGAACCTTTTCCAGTTGAATTATACGAGTATCACAATCCATAAGCATTTGTTTGTACACGACGGCGTTTATGGGCTGAAAAGTAATGAGAGACGTAATCGATCCGTTTTGGACAAAAGTTGGAAATATTGGCGAACTCTTCGCTTGTGCCGTTGACACCTATCAAGCAGAGCGTTAATCACAATGTTGTCGTCATACACAGGTAAATTCTACTAAACGTACTTTCCTCGCACTTTGAGCTTTTAGACAGCTTCTACTTTTTGTCTTCGTTTTAACTTACTTATCGAATGTTTTTACTGCCTTTCAAATCAATGATCTAATCAAACACAGTCTTATAACCTGCTCATACTTTTCGCTATGAGTTCTTCTATCTCATACTTCTCCAAAACATTTCAAGAAAAATCTTTGCTAGAGTTTCGTTGAATGAAATGAAGTATTTCGGACCAAATCTTTCGAAAGGGAATCCCTTTATGATTTTCGTAGAATCTGTCTCTGGTTCATTGGTTCAGAAAAGTTACACAGTTGAATTTCTTTCAGGTTCATCCCACATATCAACCAACTGGGTCAATTCTGGATACATCTCAACACATTCGGTCATGGTATTTGCAGTGAGATACACAGCAACCTTCTTGTTCAAAGGTTGGAGTTTCATAGGAAGGTACCTGTTTCGTGTATCACTAACAGAAAGTCTTTGTTTTGCTCTGGGCACACTGAAGGCCAAAGAGTAGCGTCGATTCGTGAACCGCACGGACCGCTCTAACGCTGCGGATCACGCACGGAGGGGTTGAATTGTCGCGAAAGCACGACTTGGACAATGGCGAATCTCTATTGGGACATGCGTTTTACATCGCATGCTCCGCAGTATCGTTCAGTCCGTGCGGTCAACGAATCAACTATACATGAAATTTCTTGCTAAGCATGATTTTCTCATTGACTTTCTTTGTTTTGAACGTTAGTAACAAGTATCTTTTTATATTTCTCTTTCAGTCCTATTATGCCTGGAAATCTCAACTTGAGGGAATCTCAAATAAAAATACTTGGAAGTGATTTGAACATTGCATTCGAAATGGCGATAGGTGATCGAATGGACAATTTACTGAGCCTGCAGACGAAAGGTAGCTAATAAACCTCCCAGCATATTGTTAATCATTCTCGCTTATAAAAGTTCTGTTTGAGTATACGATGTATGGAATGTCTCCGATGGAGCTCATTAGCCTTCTTGCCCCATTAATTCTAGTCATTCTTGACCATCAAACTTTACGATTATCCAGTCAAAATGATTTTCAAGCTGCATGGGCAGTTACCGCCGGATGCACTTGAGGGACACCGGACAAAATTTAAAGTATTTGATTAGCGTTGCATTTTGAATCTAGTTGGTTTGTTTAGGAAGTGTTTTGCAGAACGAAGAAGTTTATGAAGAACCAAGTAATTTACAGTATTTCAAACATCTAGCTTCTATTCCAACACTCTCCTTGGTAAAGAAGTTCATCTCTACGCTGTGCTCACATAGTCTCAACTTGATTTGACTAAGGCTGCACCTAACTTTCTACAAGCATCGGATGTTGATAGCTGTCAAAATCCTCATGCTTGTCTCCACTCCGAAGGCTCGGAAGATGGACAGTTAATCACTGCTGACGAAGTTTTGCTTGATCTACGGACGGAAGAGCGAAGGTCACAACAACAGGCTCCACATCAGATCCTCGGTAAGCACGATTCTGCATTAGTTTCTAGTGCGCTTTGTATCTGGGATTAATGGCTGCGTTGTTCTCTGTTGACTTGAAAAGCACTGCTCGCGTGAGCAGGTATCGCCGATTCGTTAACCGCACGGCTTTGAAACGCTGCGGACCAGGCGCGGCGCGCTGAGTTGTCGAAAGAGCACGACTTGTACAATGGCGAATTAGTACTGGAGCAAGCGTTTTACCTCGCGGCGCCTGCTCCGCAGCGATGTTCAGTCCTTGCGGTCAACGAATAGACTATATTTATGAATGACATGACGCCAAGCATGTGATGGATCGATCGTGCACCGATCAAAACAGTCAGCCCTCAGTGGCACTAATGGTCAACATTCTTTCACCTCGAAACACTAATCAGAAAGTTACAGTTGAGGAAGGCATTCAGTTTGACTGGAATTCTTTTGTGTGCTGAGCCCACCATTTGGAAATTGAATTCTTAACGCACTGCAATAAAATAATAGTTTCACATAATTTTATCTTTTTATTCTCTGTATTATCGTACTCCAAGACTGAGATTGGTCTATATTACTCTCATCACCACTGTTTGAAATCATCAGTTTGCAAAACCTATGAATGGCTCTCTTAAACAAATGATGTCTTTTTTAGAGATGACCAGATATTCAATCTTTCGCGTGGTCTAGAAGACGTGCGATTTGCAAAGAAGAGACTGATTGCAGAAGCTATTTTCATACCGATCGCGTATTGATCGGTATGAAAATAGATCAGCTCAAATGCAGAGCGACTTCGAGCACGCAAGAAGGGAAGTAGATGAAGCTCGTGAAGAGTGCGACATTGTGAAGAGTATGTGGTTGTACGTGGTTGTATCCGGTTCTAATTTTGATAATTAAAGCCACAAAACTGTGTTCATACCATGTTTATTTCTTCTTTTCCTCAATAAAACTTCCTCTCTGGGTAAAGCGTTCACTGCGCAATCAATGGGAACAGTTTATGGGTCAAAGGGGTATTCGTAAAAAAAATTTGGGTCAAAGGGGAATTCGTTTTCGAAAACCCCTTTTGACAACCTCGTGCCGGGCCCTGTTCTTATTGCCTTTCGCAAATTTTTAAAACAAGTTCTATCGCTCATAAGCAACATGGACAAGTAGTTTTAACCGCTATTGTGAAATTAAGATGCTCTTCGGAACTAACATCCTTACATATCTTTTCCTCTAGCTTTATCAACAAAAACAATAATCAACACAGATATTTATTCAATATCCCAGTGCATAACAACTTATGAGATGCTTCTGATGTGAGTAGCAAATCTGCGGTAAGATAGCAATTTGAAGGGCTTTTAGCATCTAGTAGTAGTGCATTTCCGACGGCATCTTTCCTGATATTTAAACGCGCAGTGACGTCCGGCTTGACGGCGGCATTTCTGAATAGTTACGTCTGTAGAAAACGCCACGAGAACACGCATTTTGAATCTGTTATTATTGCATTACTGATTGATGAAAATGAAACCTTGGTTAGGAAATTTACTCAAGAATATAGTAATTTCTTACTTATGCTGCAAATAAAGATGTAACTTACCTTGAGAATCCGATTTTCGCAGTTTTTTCGACATTGTGAAAGACTCTGATAATGACATCTTGCCATCTTGCTCAGGCTGACTCCAAGAATGGAAATGAGCAGAAGGCTGGTTAGCAGAAAGTTCATTATTCAAACTGTTTCAGCTTGGAGCGCTGAAAAAGTGCTTGCGCTGACATGCACACTCCTCTCTTATATACTGTATTTTGTGCTCTGACAACAAGATGTTTTGCTATTTTCCATATTGTCTTACTCATGAGGTCTTTGGTGCCTAGTACGTATACAACAGGTTTTACGAATGAGCAAGAAGACTTCAAACAGGCTGTATAAAAAGTAAAAAATCTCCATTATAACGACAATGCGGCTTTTGCATCATATTGAAACAACAATAAAAGGAAGAATGATTCAGATTTGATTGTACTGTAGCACAATAAACATCTTGAACATTGTTTCTTGATTAAAATGGATCATCGTATTGCGAGAAAAAAATGTAAATTGTGTAGCAGATTTGAGAAGCATTTCTCGTTTCAGTGCACTATAGACCTATCTGTTTGAATTTGCGACTATGTAAGCAAACGAAGGAGAACAAATAGCCCTTTATTGGCATTTTGAGTACTTGATTATCAGTTTCAACACGTCATCGGTGTCATTACTTTTTCGTATTCACACATATCTTCAAGAATGACCGGAGGATCTAACATCTTTATCAAAAACTTTCTTCATTTTTGCTTCTAAAAATTATTGTAACGATGTGTGCAATTTAGTTCTGCTTTTGGACCGTTCCTAAGCCCTTAGCGCCCAAAGTAAATAGTATCATGTTTTTATACCACTGCGCAGTCATCAGGCCATATTTTCAGCATCTCTTTTGCTTTCTTTGAGATGACGTTATCAAACGAAGGCAACAAAGGTTTTTTTTTGATTTATGACACAAAAGGCTGATTCAAGCAATACAGTGTTTGCCAAATGAGAAGAAATTGTTGCAGCAATTTCGCATGATATGTGTTAGTAAGTTGTAAAAAGTTGGAATTTCGTGAAAGTTCTCAAATTGGCCTGGTCACTCTGCAAACAGTTATTCTTCATACTACTTTCTATTGCTTATAAGCGCACAAGGTAAACGAAACTTTTGCAAAACACCGCGAGAATTTTCGGTAAAATATAGACAAAACAACATTTGGCTAGAGTCTATGATTTGACAATAAAAACTTTCGTGACATTCAATTAAGCAGCGATATGGTTAGAACTTTCCAAGTTATTGATGGGGCCAATCTAAGTAATCCTGTTCCGGTTTGGCTGGATAATTTTTAAATAGCAGTACAAGTTTCAGCAGTTTTTTCGTCAGAAAAGCTTTTACGGGCAAGCTACTACCAAGGTGTCGTCGATTTTCGCGCGTTATGTGCAGACTCATATATTAATTTAGAAAACCTCGTGCATACAATTTGGCGGTTCCGCAAAAGTGCTTATTTTCAGTGTGCTAAGTCTAAAAAGTCAACATGAAATTCAAATGAAGATAACCTAACCAACTAGTAGAACGGAAGATCATCGTTTTGTATTGGTTGTCCAACACTGGCAATTACAAATATGTTTGGCTTTCACAAATCGGTGATATGCTCTGTCCTGTTCATTCAAAATGCGCTTACGCTGACTTATAAACAATCCAGTACGCCCGGAGCCTGATGTTGCCATACTTAGCTCCTTTTGTTTTTTCACATGACCATCACTTGGAGGCTCAGTTCTCACTTTTTTATTTCTTTCAAAAGTCGCAAACGGAAATAAACGACCTTTTGCTTTTGTGCTTATCGTGATAGTGTTGCGCGAGTTGAGACAGCGTCACTATCTTGTATTGCCTTCATTGACAGTAGAGAGCTGTATGTTTGATACGTCACTGCGTAACTGCGTCACTCAAACGCCCTCTGTATGGCAGATAAAAAAGCTGTATATGCACTTGTTTGTAAACGTCAGACTTATAGAAAAAAACAGACATCAAAAAGGCAAAACATACCACTGCACAAGGAAATGATGCCTCATCTCTCCTCAAGGCTTTGCAGTGGCTCCAACTGTTTACAGGCTGCCCTCCTGTTTGTGCACTAATGGGAAAACATCGTGAATGAGATGCAGACAGCTACATTCTGAGCCTCGCCATGTATAAGGCTGGGCTAGGCACAGCCAGCCAAAAGAAAAGCTGGTTACTTTTTTGAGAAGAAACATCAAAGGGGCATTGTTATTGGGGCTCAGAGTGGAGCCGTAAACGGCAGAGTTGTAAGCGAACCTTGTATTTCGAATCACTCTTTCACTTTCACGTTCACTAGCGCAAACAGTCAAGAGTGAATCATCAGTATCCTACGATAAAGCATCACGCATAGCACGGAGTTCAGACTGATACAAATGAAATGGATTATCCATAACGAGCAAGCAATGACATAACATCAAATTTGTTCTGCGTCTGCGCAGAAGGGACGTTCAACTATGAAAGAGAAGTTTATGAAAACGTAGCCGATAAGTCGCAATTTTTCTCTAAATTAGCAGTCAACTTCTGAACTAGTAGCGACTGAACTGGCGCCGACCCTTTGTCAACTTACTTTCTGGCTGAACATAAGTCTAATTTGTATTACAAAAGCAACACACTAGTCACATTTTCGCTCTCCACTGTCTTATTAGTTTGCAAAGGGGGCGCAATTAAGCTCCGATAGCGAAGCAGCGCGCAAAGCACTGACAATTACAAATATCGATTTTTCATTGTGAGGGATTTGAAATCTATCAGTCACGTTTGTGCAAGGAGGAGGTATGAAAGTGATAGGTCAGAATACTACTCAGCTAGTTGAGAGTACCAAATTTAACAAAGAACGACATTGTGATATACTGAGGACAAAAATGAGGTGGAGGACGTTTTTTCTCACATTTACTGGTGAGGTACGATGTTGTAAGCGTTGAGTTTTCCATTTGGTAGAAAAGCAAAAGTTGATCATTGCTGAGCGCTCAGGCTGGGTTCATATTGATTCGTATGTGTCAAAACAGTTCCAGCGCAACGCCCGAACTGTGTGCTGTGTTGGAACTGTTTCGAAACATACGGATCAGTATGTACGCAGCCTCGAATAGTAATCGGAATATTTCATAACATTATTTTAAACTAAGCCAAAAACGAACTTTTCTGTGAAAGATAGTATCTCCGCCCCAAAAATTTTTTAAAAATTCATTCATCCTAGCCTATGCTTGACACATCGAACATTCAAATGTACAATATCCATGTTTTTTTTCATGACTAGAAAGAAAGAAAAATTGAATGAGGTAGAAACCCACGCATGTGATCATATAGCTCATATATGCAGAAGTATTAGGTCGTGTATTAAGTTCTGTCCCATTTTTTGTTTTAGTTTTTTCTTGCCAACATTGACTATATTTGAGATAAAGTGTATATGCTTTTGAAAGCCCTAAGTCTGCTCTACAGGCTCATATGCGTCATTCCCTAACATAGCAGGAATTTGAGAAAGATATTTGTCATTGAAATAAAAAATCCAAAGAGCCGAAAAATCAATTTTCGACATCTTTTTTCCTTCAAATTCTTCTCGATTTTCATTGGTAAAACTTATGAAACAAGCTTGACAACAACCAGAACAATCTATTAGACTTCCACACTTATTCTATCATTGTTTGCCCTGTTCCCTTCCTTCCACCGGCTATTCAACGACATTTTTTTAGAAGTCGTCAAAGCAAGACTTTGTCACGGCGATGTTCGCCGTCTCGCGTGCCCAAGCTGTGTGGCCTCCCAAAATTCGAATTTTCAGTATTTAACCTACGAATTCGATAGTTTTGAAGCCACTAACCATCCCTTCTGACTTTTCTGGATGATCCGCCTACCGTCTTCCCTCAGGATGCCTTCAGATGACGTCCAACACCAACGTTGAAAAAGCGTTAGAAAGAAGGATTTTCTAAAGTCTACAGAAATGATTTTTGAGAAGTTTTAGCACTCCTGAAGCGCAATAGAAGTTAGAGCATTCTTTGCTTACGCGTAGCAAATTCTTCGAGCTTATTCGTAGGCATTCTGACTAATTAGGAAGGCGACGTAACGTAGCTGTCGAAAATGGACTTTTTTCCTGTTTGATTTTCCAAATTTGACGCTGTAAAACTTTTCAAAGTTTATCTGATGTAGAAAACCGAAATGAAAATTTTGATAGAGAAGGCTTAGAGCTTTCAAATGCATATAAACAATTTACAGAACATCGCGCAAAATATTGAGAAAAATTTGAAAGAAAAAATGGGACAGAACTTATTACACAACCTAATACGAACAATTTTTTTGTAAACTTCGTAGGTGCTCCAGTTC